GAATCGCGCGACTTGGCCCGGCAAATAGCCATCTCCAATGGCTACGAAATAGTAACCCCACGAGATAAGTTTACAAGGAGAACGACGCGCCCATGTGAAAAGCTTGGCCAAAACAAAATCCCGTTTATGTTGCCTTTTATAAGCGACGAAGTAAGCGCAGCTATAAAACGATGCTTAAGAAGGGCAGGTCTAGAGGAATCGGTAGCGATAGTTGAAATACCACCGACTGCTCTACGTCGCCAATTAGTTCGCAACCGCCTGTATGACCGCCTGTGTGAAACAACAGATTGCGTAATTTGCCCTTATGGCAGGGACGGTGATTGCATGAGTTCAGGTACGATATACCTGATCTCGTGTAACAATTGCGGAGATGAATATATTGGCGAAACGGGCAGACCTTTGTGTATCCGTATAAAAGAACACCTAGATGGCAAACGAAAACTAAGACGAAGCACCCCACTAGGCACGCATAGGATACAAAAGCATAGCGGAGACGATTTTGAAGTAAAAGTCCATATCCTTGCACAGGAGTCCAAAACACCGGCGCGAAAACTCCTTGAGGCTTTTTGGATAAATGCCAAAAACCCTACAATGGATAGACTAAAGGAGATGCAATCTTATCGGATTCTGTCTTACCTGCAGAACTGATGCGAATTTGGCTCAACTTCTGCGTCCCTCGACAAGCAGCTCGTAGTCTTCGATCGCATCCTCTTTAATCTACAAGTCCGGAAACCATTGGATAGGATTTCGTTCAGAATTTCTATGTCATGCACCGACTGACCTTTTTCTTTGCGGTCGATGACACTAACTCATAAATTCTTTTCCAGGTTATGGCTGGATCGAATCATTGCACGAAAAAAGCGGTGATCGGAACCAGTGCAGAATTACGGGAATGTGTCAAACAGGCACCATCTTCTGTTTGTCAGAATATGTTCTATCTCTGGATGAGCCATGCCGTTAGAAGGCACCCAGTTCCAGCGGTTGCATTCGTTCTTTTGAAGAAACGAGTTCCCATGTAGGAGACGTGATGCAACAAGTGCCCTGCAAGGCGGTTTCTATTCTCATTTATTTTTCCTAGACCAAAACTTCCGATCCAGTATTTGCCCTCGTTGGCTTTCCCTATTTTGGCGCTGAATTATCCAACAAATTTGTAATACGCTTAACCATTGCGGATAACTTTTTCAATTTGATAGTATTAGGTAGTTAAGAAATAAACGAGTATTTTGAAAAGTTTATTGTTTCAACGACTTTTTCTTCCAACAAAATGTTTTTCGCACTTTGCAATATTATGTATTATTTGAAATTTGGATTTGTGGTTTTAATTTTACATTTTCTTAAAATTTAAATATTTTTACTAATTTTGAGCCTTGCAACCATAGATATCAAAAACGAATTTACGTTAAATCGTCTTTTCTGAGTTCAAACTAGGTGGCAGTGCAGCAAAGACGGCTCGAAATATTAAAAGTTTGGAGTTAAGGTACGGTTAGCGAATCACACTGCGAACATTTGACATAACCACAGTGAACCTGAGTTATTTGCGAAGCTCCGGATGGCAGGTATCTGCGGTGGGGAATGGGCGCGTCAAAACGATTTCAGATCCCTAGAACAATACCGTCTACGGGTGACTGCTTCTGGCAAGTGATGGATAAAATTAGCTGAGAGACAGGCAAAACGAACAACCACTATGGTGTGGGGGTGTACGCGCTAGTCCCTCGAAAGGCTAGTAGCGCGCTCTTTCCCCACAGCAGACACCACCGCTCTGGAGTTTTACAAATATCCAAGCATCATTGTGGTTAGATCACACGTAATACCCCGCCATGAAAAATTGTAATGGGCAGGGAATAAAAAGCAAAACATTATTTAAGCACCATTGTGGTTGCACCATCTCGTCACTATCAGAGGCGAAGTGAGAGCAGTCTGCCCCGCCTCAGAAGCAATGTGCGGGCAGCATAGCTCGCCTTGGAATCGATGTGCGGGCAGCACGGTTCGCCACAAAGGCGAAGTGCGGGCAGTACGATTCAATCAGAAGGAATGCTCGGGCGGCGCGGTTCGTCTCGAAGGCGAAATGCTGCGAGCACGGTTCGCCTCTCAATCGATGTGCGGGCAGCACGGTTCGCCACAAAGGCGAAGTACGGCGAGCACAGTTCGCCTCAGAAGCAATGTGCAGGCAGCATAGCTCGCCTTGGAATCGATGTGCGGGCAGCACTGTTCGCCACAAAGGCGACTTGTGGGCAGTACGATTCAATCAGAAGGAACGCTCGGGCGGCCCGGTTCGCCTCAGAATCGATGTGCTGGCAGTACAGTTCGCTTCGAAGTCGAATTGCGGGAGCACGGTTCGCCTCAAAGGCGAAGTGCGGCTAGCACGGTTTGCCTCAAAGGCGAAGTGCGGCTAGCACGGTTTGCCTCAGAATCTATGTGCGGGCAGCACGGTTCGCCTCAGAATCGATGTGCGGGCGGCACGGTTCGCCTCAAAGGCGAAGTGCGGCGAGCACGGTTTGCCTCAAAGGCGAAGTGCGGCTAGCACGGTTTGCCTCAGAATCTATGTGCGGGCAGCACGGTTCGCCACAAAGGCGAAGTGCGGCTAGCACGGTTTGCCTCAGAATCTATGTGCGGGCAGCACGGTTCGCCACAAAGGCGAAGTGCGGCGAGCACGGTTTGCCTCAAAGACGAAGTGCGGCTAGCACGGTTTGCCTCAGAATCTATGTGCGGGTAGCACGGTTCGCCACAAAGGCGATGTGCGGCGAGCGCAGTTCGCCTCAGAGGCGAGGTGTAGAGGAGACCTTCCATCTCAGAGTCGATATGCACTCAGTCTCTCCCACCTTAGATGCGTTGTGTGAGATCCATCGTTGGAAATTATTGCGACTGAGTTGAAGCTAGAATGCTCCTTAGAAGAAGCTTTAGAATTATGTGAAATTGAAAACGATCATATTCAGCCAATGGATGAGAAAATATCAAACCAAACAGAAATTTTGCGCGCCATTTTCTTGTCAGACCTGATACTCTTCATATTCTGCGGCCTTAATAGGCACCGTAGCCGTATGCACTGTCCATGCCTTTGAAGAAGGAACCGATGAGATAATTGAAAATATCAAAATAAACAATGGTAGCCGCAACTAAATGCAGGTCCATTTCTTGATCACTGTTCTCTCATTGGCGTTGCGTTAAGGCAGCAGAATGACATTATGTAAATGCAGCATTCGAGCAGCCTCAACCACTGTTATTTCGACTTTGGCCTTTATTTTAGATGGTCAAATTTTTTCGCGCCTTATTTCGATAATGGATGAACCTTCTGTGATCCAAGGAAATAGATATTCGCGCCAATATGTGTGAGACCATCAAAGCTGAACCACCGATGTGGCATTTCCACCTCGGCATATAGAAATCGTTCGGTGTAATGCGCCATATTCTTTGAGAAAATAGAAACACAGTTAGATGGGAGTTTTCCGAAATTTATAGGTAGACTTTTGGGGTCATCTTTATTAGTTAGTCGAATATGGATGATTCTTTCCTCCTTTATTAGTCAACTGAAAATAGCTGATTCTTTTCTATGACAACTCCGATCCCGAAAGTAATGGTGCAAAAGCTGAACGTCGATGCTCTAGCAGAAATTCTTCAGAAAATTCTTTACTCTCCAAGTATGCCACTTCGTGGAATCATCCGACCCACATTTAGGTTTGCGGAATGTTTTGTTTAGAACTAGCTCAATCTTTTGTTTGTGACGGTTTTTGGTTTCGCTCAAATATTTGATTTCTAAAAAAATCCAAGACTCTTTAATAGATTTGTTTAGATTGTTCATATTACAAGGTTGCTATACAATTGTTATTCCTCCAATATTTTGACGTCTTCGTCGTTCTCACATCTCCGACGAGCCAAGTCGATAGTACATGGTCGTTCGTATTCTCGATGTGATATATTCGCTGTCGTATCCACGCGAATCTTCTTCAGCAAAGATGAAAAGAAAGTTATTATCAGTCAAAAATCAGTTAACAACCGCCCTGTATAAAACAGTATCACCGGTTGAAGTAGCCTTATTCGAGCGGTGTTCCATTAATGAAGACTCTACTCCATACGACAACGACGACCCCCGTCGAGAAGTTGAACGACTGTGGACATCGACACAGATCATCGGCTCTGAGAAAGAGGTAGACGTCGAAACGTTAGCCGAATGAAAGGTTTATAACAACTTCGCGTAATCTGAGCAATGTAAACAATGGTGCGACTGTTAACACCAAGGTTATGTGAGAATCGGGATATGAATGTGTCGTTTTCTTGTTCAGCAATCGCGAGGTTTTCAAACAGCATACATTTACTTCCATAAAAACACAATACAATACAACGCTAGCTGACGTTTCGGCAGTATCGCCTTCTTCAGAGCCTGGAAGGGTATACTGATATACAATCTACTAGGCCAAACGCTTCAATAACACTTACACAAAGACGAAAGACTCTTTGGTAACTACCACGACCGACATTCTATTAACCTCGGCATTGATCAAGTGATTTTGTTTGTATTTTTGTTGAGCAAACGCGAGGTGTTATTATTCTTTGTTCACGATTAAGCTGACGTTCCGGCGAATTTCGCCTTCTTCAGAGCCGCTTTCTATGAGGTCTCCACTAAGTATGTCACGTAGAGACCAACCGCACAGAAATCACGTGGAAGTATAATGTATAATGTGCGGTTGGTCTCTACGTGACATACTCAGTGGAGACCTCATAGAAAGCGGCTCTGAAGAAGGCGAAATTCGCCGGAACGTCAGCTTAATCGTGAACAAAGAATAATAACACCTCGCGTTTGCTCAACAAAAATACAANGTGCGAAATAACCGATGATTTTAAACCCGCAGCCTTTGCCACGCTGACCCATTGATTGTTTAGTTTTCGGTATTGACTTTTACATTCCTTTTCAGAGGATGGGCGATAGAGAGTAGCATCACTAAGATGTTCCTCTGTTATCTCAACAAACCCTACAATGAATAGCAGGGATGAATGCCCGGAGATCATACGCGACCTGATCCCGTACGTTCGCATC